GAGGAAACTGGGAGGAGTGAGGGGCAGCACGCTGGCGCCCCTCGACACAGGGGACACAGGCAGGGCCAGGGCCCGGAGGAAGGGGAGGGAGGGACCGGGGAAGACCAGACACAAGGACCCGCGAGGCCATGCCTCTGAGCCGAAGCAGAGAGGGGTGGCCAAGGCGGTGGTGCCAGAGGAGGGTCTCGTGAGACAGACGACGACACGAACAAGGGGCAGACTCAGGACCAGACCTGGACGCTGCAGCAAACACCTGACCAGACGAAGGGGCCCTACCAGACGCAGTACCTGGAGGAGAAGCAGTGGTCAGTGTGTACAGGCTCGACCCCGGCCGACGTGTAAACGTAGCCAGGTGGCGACCTGTATCCGCCTCCGTACAGTGGGTCACCCGCTGACGAGCAGGGGTGAACTGGTGGACACCTGCATCCTGGAGGTCAGCACCACTCACCAAGTTCGTCGAGAACGAGGGGAGGTAGAGACCAGTCAGGGTGCCAGAGGGGGCCGCCGGACACGGGAGGACAGTGGAGAAGCGAGACAGGACAGGCCCCCCAGAGGGGTCCGCCAGGGACACCGCAACAGGCCGACTCAGCGGCGTGAGAGTGGTGCGGTCCCTAAAGAAGGAGCGAGACGCTCCAGAGTCAAGGGTGAAGGTGTGAGAGGCCGAAGCCGACACAGTACCTGAGAGGGCGGACTCACCAGTACCTGAAAGCACAGACGCACTGGCACCTAGAGCAGCAGCCTCACTAGTACCTGACGCGGCAGTACCAATGCCCGGGTCGGGCGGGAAACACCGGTAACAGTCATCCTCATCACTACCAGTCACAGCATACATAGCAGAGAGAATAGCATCAAAATCAAGATCATAAATAGCTACACCAGCCCTAGACAGCTCTCCCCAGCGGGGGATCTCAGCGGCCTCCGGAAACTGCTGACGCCAGGCGTCGGTCAGGCGGCCAAAGCAGCGACGGGCTGTGTGGGCGCCTCCACACCTCTCCCCTGCACGGTCACCAGTGCGAAGAACGTAGGGGCAGGGACCAAGCGCACCACCGCGCTGACGCTGCAAGTACCACTCACGGAGCTGCTGAGGGCCGGGGACGGTGCGAGAGCGCTGCTGCTGCTGCGGCTGCTGCTGTGGCTGCTGCTGCTGCTGCTGCTGCTGGCGCTGACCACCCCCAGAGCCGCTCCGCTGGGACGAGCCACTCCGACCCCCTCCTCCACCGCCACCCCCGCCTCCACCGCCACCCCCGTCGCCACCGCCACCTCCCCCACCAGGACCGTCGCTCCCACCGCTCCCACCGCCTCCTCCGCTACCACCTCCGCCGCCACCTCCGCCTCCACCGCCGCCACTACTACCTCCACTCCCGCCACCACCCCCCCCGCCACCCCCACTCCCCCCTCCACCCCCACCGCCTCCTCCACCGCCCCCTCTGGCTCCACCCGCTCCCTTGCCCCCCTTGCCCTTGCCAGTGCGGCGTCTGCCACTGGGGGCAGACGCCGCGCCGACCGACTCAAAACCAACGAGGTCGGCCGCAGCGGCAGAGGCGACAGAGGGCAGCAGGGGGGAGGGACCACACCCCTCAAAGATGGGGGTGCGAGGGTCACCCCGAGAGGCCCCTACAGCGACAATACTCTTCTCAGCCGCTAGCAGGGACTCCTCAAGGAGGTCGACAGTGAGAGTGGTGGGACAGACAGAGAGAAACTGGTCCCTAACGACACGAAGGGACTCAGGAAGACGGGTGACGAGAAAGTAGAGAGTGATGTACATGGGAGGAGGGTTCGCAGCGCGGAACTCAGCAGGAAGGGCAGCGCGGTAGCGGGTGTCACTAGCGCGGAGGTGGGTAACGAGGTCAGCGACAGTGGGAAAGGAAGCGAGGTCAGGGAAGAGAAACGGTAGCATGAGGCGGCTAAGGGTAGTGGAGGAAGGGGAGGAGTAGCGCGCAACTACAGCGTCGTACAAGGCCTGAGCGGTCTTGCACTGACTAAAGTGGGCACGCTCAGAGGAAGGGAGGTGGCGACGCACAGCAAGACGTGCAGCAGCATCGCGGGTCGCCCACTTGGAGCGAACGGCAGAGTCAGCATCAGCAGGCGGGGCAGGGACAGCGCCAGAGACAAAGTCAAAGAGAGAGACCTCATCTACCGCATCACACAGTAAGTACAGCTGCAGATCCTCGATCCAGACGGCAAAGTCAATGGCCCTCCCCTCAGCGTCAAAAGTGAGAACATTGGGGGTGGCCATAGCAGCAGTTGAAAGTCTCACCGGGATGGGAGAGTCGGGTAGGTCAGCAGCAGGCGGCTCGGGCTGCTCGTGCAGCTCAGGCGGCTCGGGCTGCTCAGGTACCGGGCGGCTCGGCTACTGCGGGGCGGCTCGGCTACTGCGGGGCGGCTCGGCTGCTGCTGGGCGGCTCGGCTGCTGCTAGGCAGCTCGGCTGCTGCTGGGCGGCTCGGCTGCTGCTGGGCGGCTCGGCTGCTGCTGGGCGGCTCGGCTGCTGCTGGGCGGCTCGGATGCTGCTGGGCGGCTCGGCTGCTGCTGGGCGGCTCGGCTGCAGTGCAGTGGCGGGGCCGGGACAAGGCCGGCGGTAGGGCCGGCGGTAGGGCCAAGTAGGAGCCGGCGGCGGGCCGAGTAGGAGGCCGGCGACGGGCCGAGTAGGAGGCCGGCGGCGGGGCCGAGTAGGAGCCGGCGGCGGGGCCGTGTAGGAGGCCGGCGGCGGGCCGAGTAGGAGGCCGGCGGCGGGCCGAGTAGGAGCCGGGGCCGGGCCGTGTAGGAGGCCGGCGGCGGGCCGTGTAGGAGGCCGGCGGCGGAGCCGAGTAGGAGCCGGCGGCGGGGCCGTGTAGGAGGCCGGCGGCGGGCCGAGTAGGAGGCCGGCGGCGGGCCGTGTAGGAGGCCGGTGGCGGGCCGAGTAGGAGGCCGGCGGCGGGCCGTGTAGGAGGCCGGCGGCGGGGCCGAGAAGGAGGCCGGCGCGGGGCCGCGTAAGGGGCCGGCGCGGGGCCGCGTAGGAGCCGGCGGCGCAGGGCCGCGTAAGGGGCCAGCGCGGGGCCGCGTAAGGGGCAGGCGGCGGGGCCGCAGGGGAGAGGGCGACCCGAAGGGTCGCTAAAACAAAAAAGGGGCGCGCCTCGGGGCGCGCTTCGGTGGGCCCAAAAAAAAATTCGGTCCTGGAGGGACCTAGCTCTATACCATGTGAAACTATGAGCAGAGGAATGAATTGACTAAGTCAGAGTTGGGTACAAATACAGACCTAGCAAACTGTACCCCATATGTGCTACCCCACTATAGCCTACAAACATGCATCAGCTATAATAATCTGACAGTGCCCAGGGTCCGGTTTGTCCTTCCCGTGTCGGTAGTGTCGCGTAGTCCATCGGCTTCATGACGATGACGCGCCACCTATCCATGGTGGGTCCTCGCAGCAGCGACACGGCGTAGCGGATTTTCGCCGTATCCTCCGAGACGTAGTTGGCATCGAAAAATACGTTCATCGTGAACAACCACGCCTGAACAGTAGGACCACCCCTTTGGCTGGGATCGAAGCATGGTGGATGCTGCGGCTTCAGCGGCATTGGTGACGGCAGTGCCGAACCGTCGGTTGGTGCCGAAATTGTGACGCGTGGCTGGCTTCGGGCCGCATTCGTCGCTTCGGGGTGTGTCGTGCCGTGGTCGTCGTTTCCGTCGGGGCGGACGACGCCATCACTGGCCGCGCTCGCGGGTTGCCCCACGCTTCCATGTTATGATGCTTGTGCTGCTGGCTGTTCCGGAGTGCCAGGTGCTTGAGATTGTGCTTGTTGTGCTTGTGTGAGGTCATTTTGCAGGGACAAACGTTCTGCCGTCAGCGTTGCGATTTCCTCGGCGCTCTCGCGGATTTGTCGCAGCAGATCGTTCAAGTGCTCCTGCGTGAGGGTCGTGATATCGATATGCTCAGCCATTTCGAAGGGTGTCGGCTCGTCTTAGTCTAGGCGCAATCGTGGCTGCACGCGTTTTCGAGAGAACGCGAGGACAGCGGCTCCTAGGTGCTAAGGTGCGTGAGTCCCTTCGAGTGAAAAATCAAAAGTTGATTTCCTGGGGTGCGGAGATGCGCGGTCCGAAAGAAAGGGGCTCTGAATACCAAGTATCTTGGTAATATCACGGGTGCAATGAATCGAAGTAGCGAGAATTGCACTAAGGTGTCAAACGAGTACAAAGATGTGAGCGAAGGCATGAGCGAACATTTATACGCGAAAACATGCAAACGGTAACGCGGTGCGTGCGAGCTAGCTAGTGCTATGCTGGCAGCGAGGCTCGAGCTAGTCCCGAAGCGTAGGCCGACACGGCCGGGCCAGCAGTGCGAGGTTTGGCAAAACAGTGCGCGCGAGGTTGGCGAAGTCCCGTTAGCAGTAACGGACGAACAACGGTTGTTGCTGTACGCGATGTAGTCGGGCTCCGTAAGGAATGCCAAAAAAAATTCCTTAGAATATCTCATGTAAAACCTGTAATCACCATAAAGCATATTACATAGAGAATCCCTTACAATCCATCGCCGTGTTCAGTTCACTACTTCCATAAAATTACACGCCATAAAATATATATACATATATATATATAATTTTCATAACTGTCACCCGCCCGCCCACCCCCTCCATCCCGCTTCCCCTTACCAAATACCACACACACACACTCATTTCACACATGGGAGGCGTATCCAAGGGCTTGACTGCCATAGTACCTTCCCATTGCTCCTCTTTCCCTTAACACTCTCCTCCACGTGCTTTCCAATTGTCCTCTTCTCTTCCTCTGGAGACAAAGACCCCTGCTCGGGACTCTTACTAATCTTATCCACATTCTTCATGGGCGTCTTAGTCTGCAGATTAGAACGAGCTACGAGGCAAATGTACCCCCTGCACGTGTTCAAAGGTTTGCACGTCTCCCCATCCTTGCACATGCCCGCGGTGCAATTTTTTTCCTTCCGGACGCAGGTCACCATGCTTCGTCTCCGCTGCCTCTGCTGCTGCGGCTGCTTCTGCAGCTCCGACTACCGCTCCCTTTCGCGGTATGCCAACATAGCCTTGTATGACAATTCCGCTTGAAGCTTGTTCAGCTCCAGCTGCTTTTTCCTCTGCTCTTCTTCATTTTCCAGCCGCTGCTGCTTCAACTCCGGTCGCTCCTTCTCAAGCCGTTCCAGTTCCTGTTGCTGCTTCACCTTCTCCTGCTTCTGCAGCTCCTTCTGACACTCATTCTCCCGGTATGCAAGCATACTCTTGTATGACGCCTCCTGTTGAAGCCGGCTCATCTCCTGCTGCTTCTTCCTCTGCTCTTCCCCCTGCGACAGCAGTTTGCGCTGCGATGAGGCATCTAGGCCGAGCAAGAAATTGCGCGAATTTTGAGGCGCCTTGGAAGTCTTCTTCCTCTCCTCTTCCTCCTGCGACTGCAGTTTGCGCTGCGATGAGGCATCTTGGGCGAGCAAGAGACTGCGTGAGTTGCCTGAGTATGCGGATTCAAACATGGAGCTTTTTACGAATCCGACTGTAATGGGGAGGGTGGGGAGACAACAAGGGATGGGAATAAATGAGTGCCAAACAGGTGGTTTTAGGTGATTTGTGTTGAGATTCGGAAAGCCGTTGCATGCTTTGTGCAGAAGAAACAACAGGAGAACCACTAGTCTAAGAGGCTTTCCACGCATTTGAGTAAACATATTACCCGACAAAGGTTAGTGGGTGATAGGCAGGTAAACTTAGTGGGGGCGCAAGGGAAACGACACCAGATTTGGGCATTATGATACATCGGCGAACAAAATTAATCATCACATCTACAATACAAAAAACTCACTCGCCGATCCCCTCTCGCCCTTCCCTCATCGGCTCCCCTCACACGAAAATATGTCGCCTCGGCAACGAGAACGCATCTTACGTCGATTGCTCTGATCCTGATTTGCTGGAATTTCTTCTCCTTAAGCTCCTTCGCTGCCCCGCAGCCCGTACGCCAAGGCGAGCACGAGAAGGAACATGATGACGAATCTACTTTTGAGGCGCCTCAATAGTCTGCCCCACAGCCAGCCCGTACGCTAAGGCCAGAAAAAGAAGGAACCTCAGAAACATTATGACAGATTTACTTTTGAGGCGCCTCAAAAGTCTGCCCCACAGCCAGCCCGTACGCTAAGGCCAGAAAAAGAAGGAACCTCAGAAACATTATGACAGATTTACTTTTGAGGCGCCTCAAAAGTCTGCCCCGCAGCCCGTACGCTAAGGCCAGAAAAAGAAGGAACCTCAGAAACATTATGACAGATTCACTTTTGAGGCGCCTCAAAAGTCTGCCCCGCAGCCCGTAAGCCAAGGCCAGTACGAGAAGGAACCTCAGCAACATGGGAAACGCATCTTACGTAGATGGCTCTGATCGTGATTTGCTGGAAGTTCATCTCCTTGAGCTCCTTCGCTGCCCCGCAGCCCGTACGCCAAGGCGAGCACGAGAAGGAACCTCTGCAACATGATGACGAATTTCTCTCCTTGGGGTCCGTAGGAGAAAATTTGTACGGAAAAAAGAGGCTTGGGGTCACTATTACGGCTGCTTATTTCAGTCGGGAGATTTCAAAAGCTACAATTACGGAACATGGACTAAGAGGAGAAACCCACCAAGGATGGGTCAAACCACTCCTTGGAAGGGGAGGGAGGGAGGTGAGGAGGAATCCAATTCTATACAATTTCTCCCATTCCAATAATGCAATGCGGGAGCGCCAAATCAGTCGCAGCACCCGCGACGCGGCGAAAATGTTGAGGGTTTCGATGGGATTCGCTACGGTTCGTTATTTGCTGCGACATGCAAACCGCTGAATGCGCGGGACGCGCTGCAACCGCCAAGCTTGAGTACAACAGTGCAATCAATAATGCACGCGAGAGGTTTGGACAGGCTGACGAGAAGTGAGAATGGATGAATGAACTATGAAACAGTTGGGTACAAGTACTAACCCTAATTGGGTTGTACCCCTTATGGGCTACCCCACTACAGCCTACACAAATGTATAAGCTATAATGTTCTGACACACCCCCATAGGCAATGTGGGGGAGAACAAGTGGTCACAAGACCAGTCAAGCAAAGCAAAGCAAAGCAAAGCAAAGCAAGCTCAGGGTGGATCACAAAGTCACCACACAGTCCAAGCACAAGAGTAAGGCCACAAGGCCAGTTCACATGGAAGGTCATATATATAAAGGTAAAACAAGCAAGGGCAGGTATAGAAAGAAGACAGTACAAACAAGATCAAGCAGTGAGCAAGTGAGGCCAGGTAGGCACAAGACCTAGCACAGTACAGAAGCGCTGATGATCACAAGGCGGAAGGGCCTTGGTGAAGATATCAGCAGTGTTTGCCTCAGAGGCCACGTAGGTGAGGCGGAGCTGACCACGCTGCTGCAGCTCACGAGACAGGAAGTAGCGGAGAGCAATGTGCTTCGTTATGTGCTCCAGTCTGTGCTCCCGACACAAGGCCAGCATGGCCTTGTTGTCTACGTACAGAACTGGAGGAGAACGAGGCGGCTCTCCTAGGTCAGTCAGCAGGTAGGTGAGCCAGCGTAGCTCCTGTGTAGCCATGGCCCCAGCGTAGATCTCAGCCTCACAGCTGGAGCCGAGAACAGAGGACGAGCGGGTAGCCCGCCACAAAACAGAGCCGGAACCAAGGCTGAAGGTGTAACCCTGTGACGACCGCTGCGTAGCCTGGTCGTCAGCCCAAGAAGCGTCAGCGTGACCTGTGAGGACCACTCGACGTCGCCCTCCAAGCACTAGCCCCATGCCCGACGTACTGCACACGTAGCGCAACACCCTCTTCGCTGCAGCCATGTGCTCTGGTCTATGTCTCCCAGGAGCAACATAGCGTGCCAAGATGCTAAGAGGGTATGCAAGGTCAGGTCGTGTGCAGGTCATCAGGTACATGAGGCAGCCAACAAGCTCTGGGTACGGGCCACTCGACTCTACGGACTCATCCGAAGGCAGAGCTGAGAGCGAGTGGTGAGTAGACAGAGGAGTGGCCTGAGGCGAGGAGTACGTGAAGTCGAAGCGCTGAAGGACCTGCTGCACCATGTGTGACTGAGTCAGGGTAATGGTGCGCTGTGCTCTGTCCCGGGTGATCTCCAAGCCAAGGTAGCTGCGCAGTTCACCCAGGTCTGTGCACGTGTGTCTCTTCTGCAGCTCGGACTTCACGTGGGCGAGTCCAGTAGTGTCAGCAGTGGCAAAGACCAAGTCGTCGACGTACACGAGGATGTAGAACGGCGGCAAAGAGGTGTCGGTGCGTAGAAATAGCGACGGGTCGGCTGTAGAAGGAGCAAACCCAAGAGCCGCAAGTGTAGTCCTCAGTGTGTCGTGCCACTCACGGGGCGCCTGGCGGAGACCGTAGACTGGCCGCCGGAGGCTCCACTGGGTACCAGGAGGAAACGACCCAGTGAAGCCAGGAGGGCGGCGCAGCCAGATCTCGTCGTGCAGGCCGCCCTACAGGAAAGCTGTGCTGAAGTCAAGTGAGTGAAGCTCGTAGTCTCGCTGAGCGGCTATGTGTAGCAGCACCTGAAGAGTGGTCATCTTCGGGGTGGGAGAGAAGGTCTGAAAGTAGTCAACTCCCTGCCGCTGACTGAAGCCTCGAGCCACATAACGCGCCTTGAAGATAGGCGGAGAGCCAGGCGGCCGCTTCACCCTGAAGATCCACATCCCACTGACGATGTTCGCCCCAGGTGGGGGAACCTCGTCGACGTAGGTGCCTGTGGACTTCCAGGAAGCCATCTCTGCGTCCATGGCCGACTGCCACTGAGAGGAGTAGGGACCCTTGATCGCCTCAGCGTACGATCGAGGAGTCGGGATGTCTGGTGCATTAGGGTCTCCCTCAGGGGCAATCAACGTGGACACGAGATGGGGCAAAGCAGCCGCAAAGCACTGGAACTCCTCCTGCCTGTCCTCAAGGACGTCCGTGCTAAGAGCACACTCACCCCCGACGGACGGAGGACAGACAGACTCAGACGTAGCAACAAGACTAGCAGCGTAGTCTAGATGGCAGCGAGCAGCGAAGTCGACAAGCTCAGCAACTAGAGCAGACGCAGCAGTGGACTCAAAGGTAGGGTCAGTGACAACAGTAGCAAGAAGGCGCGTGACCAAAGGACTAGCAGCACGAAGGGAGTCGGACTCCGGGTCAGCAAGCGAAGGAAGAGAGGACTGTGGAGGAGACGGCAAAGGGACACGCAGAGGAGCAGTGGACGGAAGCAGTGCCATCTTGTGTGTGCCGGGGACCGCAGGAGGACGCGGACGCGCAGTACGACCACTAGTGCAAGCAGCACGAACAGGCGACGCAGGACGAGACGCAGGCTGACGACGCTCAGCAAGACCTCCAGTAGGACCAGTGTAGGGAGAAGGAGCAGGTAGCGGGGAGGCGGGCTGTAACTGGGACTGGGACTGGACAGGCTGCGGACACTCTAAGGGAGGAGCAGGACCAGTAGAGGGAGGGAGACCAAGAACCTGCTCCAGGAGGGGAACGAAGTACGGCCTCGGCCGCGCAGCGCCTCCAGAACCAGTAAGGACGGCACCAGGACCCCCAGCGGCAGCACCAGCGCCAGCAGAACCTCCAGCTGCAACAGCGCCAACTCCAGGACCCTCAGAAGCACCAGCGCCAGCAGCAACGCCAGCGCCAACACCCCCACTAGCTCCAACTCCAGTAGAACCGTCTGCCTCAGCAGCACCCCCAGACGCACCAGCACCAGTAGAAACACCAGCGCCAACACCCTCAGCAGCTCCACCTCCAGCAGCACCAGCACCAACAGCAGCTCTAGCAGGACCAACTCTAGTAGCTCCAGCAGCACCCCCAGACTCAGCAGCACGTCTCCAGCGGCGGGCGAACCACTCGCGCAGCTCCTGTGGAGAGAGCGGCTCCCGCCTCGACGAAGCACCGCCGGCGGCCACACGAGGAGACCCAGCACCCCCAGGCTCAGCATCCCCAGTCTCAGCACCCCCAGACTCAGCACCCCCAGGCTCAGCACCCCCAGTCTCAGCACCCCCAGACCCAGCACCCGCAGACCCGGCACCCGCAGACCCGGCACCCGCAGGCTCAGCACCTCTAGCAGCACCAGAGTCAACAGCTACCTCGACAGGCTCGACTGCGTCTACCTGGGACACACCTGAAGAGGCAGGACCCTGAGGAGGGAGGGGGTCTACCTGGGTAGCACCTGGCGCAAGGAAGAGCGTCGGCGGGGGGAGGGGCGCAGTGCGGTAGGGGAAGAGACGGTAGTAAGGCACCGACTCGTCAAAGATGACGTCCTGGGAGGACAGAACACGTCGCGAGGTGGGGTGGTAAAACCGCCAGCCAGGCGCGTCGGGGGGGGGGGAGCCAAGGAAGACGCAGGGAACAGCACGGGGGGACAGCTTGTCCGCAGACGAGTCGCGGACAAACGCCCTAGATCCCCAGACCCGAAATGCAGACGCATCGCCAACCTTCCCGGTCCACCGCAAGGCGGGGGAGGTCTCTGGCAAGGAGACCCGGGGCTGAAGGTTGAGCTGATGCGCGGCGTACTGAACCGCAAACGGCCACAGAAAACGGGGGGCAGCCGCATGCATCATGGACGTACGAGCGACGTCCATGACCATGCCAATGCGGCACTCAGCAATCCCATTTTGCTGTGGAGAGGCCGGAAGCGTGAAGGTCTGGCGGATGCCCTGTGCACGACAGAAGGCTCCCAGACGGGCAGAGGAAAACTCCCCGCCTCTGTCCGAGTGCAGACGCAGAACAGGAAAGTCGGAGCCGAAACTCTCTCGGAGCTGGAGACGAGCTGCGCGGATCCAGTCGATCAACACCTCAGTGACGTCACCCTTGCTGCGCAAGGGGAAGACTGTGGTGTAACGCGAGTAGTCGTCAACAACCAGCAGAAAGAACTGCTCTCGTCCCTGCCCACTGACTCGGGCTGGGCCCCACACGTCCATGTGGAGAGTCTGCAGTGGAGCCTCTGTCGGAGGAAACTCGGAGGAGTGAGGGGCGGCGCGCTGTCGCCCCTCGACGCAGGGGACGCAGGTAGGGCCAGGCCCCGGAGGAAGGGGAGGGAGAGACCGAGGAAGACCAGAGACAAGGACACGGGAGGCCATGCCTCTGAGACGAGGCAGGGAAGTGTGACCAAGGCGGTGGTGCCAAAGGAGAGTCTGGTGGGACAGCAGACGACACGAGCAGGGGGCAGACTCAGGACCAGACCTGGACGCCGTAGCAAACACCTGACTCGACGCAGCTACCAGGGCAGACGCAGCAGCAGGAGGAGACGCAGTAGTAAGGGTGTACAGGCTCGACCCTGGCCGATGACTGAACGTGGCCAGGTGTCGGCCTGTCCGAGCACACGTGCAGTGGGTCACTCGCTGACTCGCAGGAGTGAACTCGTCAACCCCTCGATCGTGCAGGTCCGCTCCACTCACCAGGTTCGTAGAGAACGAGGGGAGGTACAGACCAGACAGGGTGCCAGAGGGGGCTGCAGGGCACGGAAGGACAGTGGAGAAGCTAGCAAGGACAGGACCCCCAGAGGGGTCTGCCAGAGAGACTGCAACCGGCCGACTAAGCGGCGTAAGAGTGGTGCGGTCTCGAAAGAAGGAGCGGGACGCACCCGAGTCCAGGGTGAAGGTGTGGAGGGCCTGAGCCGAAGAAGTACCTGAGAGCGCAGACTCACCAGCACCTGGGGCAACAGACGCACTAGCGCCAAGAGCAGCAGTCTCACCAGCACCTAGCGCAGCAGCCTCAATGCCCGGGTCATGCGGTACACACAGGTAACAGGCACCCTCAACACTATCAGCAATAGCATACATGGCAGCAAGAATAGCATCAAAGTCAAGATCAAAGATAGCAGCCCCAGCCTTGGCCAGATCTCCCCAGCGAGGGATCTCTGACGCCTCAGGGAACTGGCGACGCCACGCGTCCGTCAGGCGACCAAAGCAGCACTGGGTGGAGTGCGGACCTCCGCACTGCTCACCAGTGCGGTCGCCGGTACGGAGAACGTAGGAGCAGGGACCAAAACCCCCACCTCGCTGGCGTGCAGTGTACCACTCACGAAGCTGCTGAGGGGACATGGTCACACCGCTCCGCTGCTGCTGCTGGCGCTGACCACCACCGGAGCCACTCCTCGGTGCAGAGTCGCGACTCGCACCACCACCACCGCCGCCGCCGCCACCGCCACCGCCGCCTCTGCCGCCTCCTCCACCTCCGCCTCCTCCACTACCTCTGCCGCCTCCGCTCCCTCCGCCACCTCCACCGCCTCCGCCGCCTCCACTGCTGCCGCCGCCACCACCACCCCCGGTACCACTCCCACCACCATCCCCACTCCCTCCACCGCCTCCACCACCACCTCCACCGCCCCCTCCACCCCCTCCAGAGCCCTTGCCCCCTTTGCCCTTGCCGGTGCGGCGTCTCCCACTTGGGGCAGACGCAGCGCCGACCGACTCGAAACCAACGAGGTCGGCCGTAGCAGCAGAGGCGACAGAGGGCAAGAGGGGGGAGGGAGAACACCCCTCAAAGACGGGGGTGCGAGGGTCACCACGAGAGGCTCCTACAGCGACTATGCACTTTTCTATCGCTAGGAGGGCCTTCTCGAGGAGGTCAACGGTTAGAGTGGTGGGGCAAACAGAGAGGAAGTGGTCCCTGACTACCCGAAGAGAGTCAGGAAGTCGGGTGACTATGTAGTAGAGGGTGATGTACATGGGGGGGGGGGGTTCTTGGCGCAGAACTCAGCAGGAAGCGCAGCGCGGTAGCGAGTGTCAAGAGTGCGGAAGTGCGTAATGAGGTCAGCGACAGTGGGAAAGGCAGCAAGGTCAGGGAAGAGGAAGGGAAGCATGAGGCGGCTCAGTGCAGCAGTGGCAGGGGAAGAGTAGCGTGCAACGACAGCGTCGTACAAGGTCTGAGCACTCTTGTACTGGCTAAAGTGCGCACGCTCAGGGGCCTTAGTGGGGCCGAAGTGGGGCCGACGGGGCCTTAGCGGGGCCGCAGTGGGGCCGAAGTGGGGCCGACGGGGCCTTAGAGGGGGGGCCGCAGTGGGGCCGAAGTGGGGCCGACGGGGCCTGTAGCGGGGCCGAAGTGGCCGTAGGTGGGGTCGTAGCGGGGCCGACAGGGCCGTGGCGGGGCTGTAGCGGGGCCGGAACGGGGCCGAAGTGGGGGCCGACGGGGCCTAAGTGTGGCCGCAACAGGGCCGACGGGGCCTAAGTGGGGCCGCAACGGGGCCGACGGGGCCGTAGCGAGGCCGCAACGGGGTCGAAGTAGGTGCCGACGGGGCCTAAACGGGGCCGCAGCGGGGCCGACTGGGCCTAAGCTGGGCCGACGGCGGGCTAAGCGGGGCCAACGGGGCCTAAGCGGGGCTGTAGCGGGGCCGCAACGGGGCCGACGGGGCCTAAGTGGGGCTATAGCGGGGCCGACGGTGGGCTAAGCGGGGCCGTAGCGGGGCCGCAACGGGGCCGAAGTGGGGCCGACGGGGCCTAAGCGGGGCCGCAACGGGGACGAAGGGGCCTAAGCGGGGCCAATCGGGGCCGTAGCGGGGCTATAGCGGGGCCGACGGGGCCTAGGAGGGGCCGACGGTGTGCTAGGCGGGACCGACGGGGCCGAAGGGAGGGGCCGACGGGGCCTAAGCGGGGCCGCAACGAGGCCTAAGCGAGGCCTAATCGGGGCCGACGGGGCCTAAGCAGGGCGGCTCGAGGGGCATTAAGGGCGGCCAAAAGGCGTCTCGGGGCGCTACTCGGTTTAGGAGGTAAGCGCGCTCCGGGCAGAGGAGAAAAAAGTACGTGGTGGGCCCTAGGCAGTATTCCCACTCGGGAACCTGCTCGATACCATGACGAGAAGTGAGAATGGATGAATGAACTATGAAACAGTTGGGTACAAGTACTAACCCTAATTGGGTTGTACCCCTTATGGGCTACCCCACTACAGCCTACACAAATGTATAAGCTATAATGTTCTGACACAGGCTTGACGAGCTGCTCGTTCCGCTTATAGGGAAATAAATACACGTATGAAAACGATCAACTACTAATCTTGTGGGTATGGTAGTTGTTTCATTTTCTTCCCCCAATAATTAGAACCCAACTAAACAGACAGATATGACACCTGGGTGTCGGTCAGATTGAAAGTTGCGAGTAATGGCTAAAGGCAATTAACCATCATCATGGTGCGTGTAGTTCCTCACTCGGTTAACCCACTTGAACTAAGTAATAATTTGCCACGTGATGTCCTGCTACAGCTATTGCGGGAGGAGCAGCAGCAGCGAAAGCAGAATCGACAAGTGGAAGCGCATACAGGGAAAACCCCCAGCGACATAAGGCTGCGAGGGCGAGTGGCCTTGGTGATGCTGCTGGCATAGAGGCAGCAGGTTCGATTTCACCGCGAGCCACAGCTACTGCAGGAGGAGCAGCAGCCGGAGAAGGCACGGTAAAAGGCAGTGCGCCTAAGAGCAGTAAAACGCGCAGAGGAAGCAGTTCATTCAAAGGCAGTGCTTCTGGCGCTGCTGGTGCAGAGGTAGTAGCAAGGTCACTTTCACCCCAAGCAACAGGTGGTGCAGGAGGTGCAGCAGCAGCAACAGCAGGAGGAGGAGGAGGAGGAGGAGGAGGAGGAGGAGGAGGAGGAGGAGGAGGAGGAGGAGGAGGAGGAGGAGGAGGAGGAGGAGGAGGAGGAGCAGGAGGAGGAGCAGCAGCAGGAGGAGGAGCAGCCGCCAGAGAAGGCACGGTAGAATGCAGTGCGCCTAAGAGGAGTAAAACGCGCAGAGGCAGCAGTTCATTCAAAGGCAGTTTGCCAAGAGGCACTACGCTCAAAGGCTACTCCCCTCTGGCCCTTGTCACGAGCAGCCCTCGTCCCACGCCTTCGTTTCTATCACCACCCCTTCCATTGTCACCCCTGCCACTGTCACTCCCGGCTGCTCGTTCGGATTTCACTCACAAGCCCCCATTATTGTCACACCGTATTTTGTCACTGCCTACAAGTTTTAACGAAGGGGACGGGGTGCGGTCTTTGCTGTCAAATCCGTCATTGTCACACCCGGCTGTTCCTTCTGACTCTCCACACATGCCACCATTATTGTCACACCCCCGAGGCGAGGGGGAGGGAGAGGATAAGAGAGAGGACGTGGGAGAGGAGGAGAGGGAGGAGGGAGGAGGGAGGAGGAACGGTGGGAGCGAAGGGAATGGAGCTTAGCAGAGAGGATGTGAGAGAGAAGGGAGAGGAGGGGAGAGATCACGGGAGAGAGGAGGGCAGAGAGGAGGGGAGAGAAGAGGGGAGAGAAGAGGGAAGAGAGGAGAGGAGAGTGGAAAAGGGAGAGGAGGGGAGAGAAGAGGGGAGAGAAGAGGGAAGAGAGGAGAGGAGAGTGGAAAAGGGAGAGGAGGGGAGAGAGAAGAATGAGGAGGAGATAGGTCTGGAAGGTGGTGCAATGTTAGAGGAGGGGGGTGATATGGGGGGACGAGAGGGAGGCGGAAGGCATATACATGTGGAAGGTGGGAAAGATGAGGAAGTTGGGAAAGATGTGGAAGTTGGGAAAGATGAGGAAGTTGGGAAAGATGAGGAAGTTGGGAAAGATGTGGAAGTTGGGAAAGATGTGGAAGTTGGGAAAGATGTGGAAGTTGGGAAAGATGTGGAAGTTGGGAAAGATGTGAGGATGTGGGTGGACGGTGCAGCAATCACAGAGGAAGGGTGTGATATGAGGGGGAGAGGGGTAGGAGGAAGGCGTATGCATATGGAAGGTGGGAATGGTGTGGAAGGTGGAAAATATGAAGACAATGGGAAAGATAGGATGGATGTGTGTGTGAGAGGGGGCGGTGGTGGGTACATAGAAGTGCACCATCCACTGCCAGTGTTGGCTGTGCACGTGTGGGCGGATAACAACCCCTCTAACGGCCCTTCCTGGGTGCTTGGCTGTTCTCAGGACGGCTCAGTTGCCCTCTGGTGAGTCAACACGAGTTAACCCCCATCCAATCTCACCCCCATCCACTCTCACCCCCCATCCACTCTCCTCTCCGCTTGGCCCCTTCCTCCCTCACAGGGATGTGGATTGCCGTTTCCTGCTGAGTGTATGACACAGCCTCTCATCACACTCCATTCTCATAAGTCACCTACACCCCCACTCACACCCACATACCCACATACCCACGCCCCATCCTCTCAGCTAAGGATTGCCGTTTGCTGCTGAGTGTATGACACAGCCTCTCATCACACTCCATTCCCAAAAGTCACCAGAGCTACATACACCCAAGCCCCATCCACTCGCATGCCAATCTACCCTCAAACCCCCTCCATCCACTCACAGGGATGTTGATTGTCGTTTTCTGCTGAGTGTATGACACAGCCTCTCATCACACTCCATTTTTGCCCTGCACGTCTGTCCTCTCCCCTCTGAATCGGATACCCTTTTTTAGCAGTTCCTGATGTGTAAATACCCTCACTGTATTCACACACACCCCCCCTTCCTCCACACGCAGGGATGTGCATCGTCGTGTGCTGCTGACTGCATGGCACAGCCTCGCACACTCCATTCTCGGCCTGCACGTCTGCCCTCTCCCCTCCGCTCCTGCTGTTGTTGGCTCTGCTGCTGCTGGCTCTGCTGCTGCTGCTCGTGCTGAAAACGCTGAAGGGTTTGGGAAGAAAGCAGAGAAGGAAGGGATCAGGGGGATAGAGGGGCTGGAGCTGCTGCTGTTGCTGGAAACAGGGGAAAGGGCGGAGAGCGTGCAAAACGATGTAAATGAGCAACAAAACATGATGCCTGAAGAAGAGTGCAAGATCACAGTATCAAAAGAGAACGTGGGAGACAATCAGCAGGAGGTGGTGGTGCGGGCGCGACAGCTACAGCCACGGACAAGCGCACACGAGCTGGCGTTTCTGAGTGCCAAGGCGATGGTGGTGGGGAGGAGCATAGCGGACAGGTGAGCACTGAGCTGACCCGCATGGGTGGAACGCGGTACGAAGGTGCGCAGTAAGGTGTGCTGTTAGCAAGGGTGGTGGTGCGGGCACCACAGCTACAGCCACAGTCAGGCGGACACAGGCTGGCGTTTCTGAGTGCCAAGGCGATGATGGTGGGGCGGAGTATAGCGGACAGGTGAGCCGAGGCACATGGCATGAGTGGGATGCGATATGAAGGTGTGTGGTAAGGTTTGGTGCTACACTGTCAGGCGCACACAGGCTGGCGTTCCTCAGTGCCAAGGCGATGGTGGTGGGGCGGAGCATAGCGGAGAGGTGAACAAAGACACACCAGTCCTCTTACCTCTCTCCTCCCCTCTAGTCCACTTGAGGCACGTAAAGGATCCTCTCCAGTCCTAAACTCTCGCCAGTCCACTTGAGGCACGTAAAGGATCCTCTCTAGCCCTAAACCCTAAACCCGTTCCTCTCCAGTCCACTCCTTCACCCCCCCCATCATACCCCTCATCCGTTTCCCACCCTCCATCCATTTCCCACACCCCATCCTTTGTTCTCCTCTCCCCTCCCCTCTCTCCTCCTGTATCCCATCCTTTGTTCTCCTCTCCCCTCCCCTCTCTCCTCCTGTATCCCATCCTTTGTTCTCCTCTCCCCTCCCCTCTCTCCTCCTGTATCCCTTCCATTGCTCTCCTCTCCCCTCCCCTCTCTCCTCCTGTATCCCTTCCATTGCTCTCCTCTCCCCTCCCCTCTCTCCTCCTGTATCCCTTCCATTGCTCTCCTCTCCCCTCCCCTTTCTCTTCCTATATTCCTTCCAGTGCTCTCCTCTCTCCCCTCCCTACTCTCCCTTATTCCGTCCTCGGCATTCCACTCATATGTGCGCTTACCATTTGTTGCTCCCACCCTTCACCAGTATCTCACAAGCTTCTTAATTCCATCCAGGCATCGAAATTACATGATAAGCATAGAGGATTAAGCATAGAGGATTGAGCATAGAGGATTGAGCATGAGCATTGAATGAGCATAAGAAGCTCATGAGGATTGAGCATTGAGGATTGAGCCATCTCTCAATGGGACCTCAAGCATTGAGCATTGAGGTTACCTCACACTCGTTCTCCCCATCCCTTCATCCATCCCCTTGCCCCCAACTATGCACCATTTTCTCGCAGGCATATCGGGAAATCAAGGAAGCACAATCTACTGACCTCCCACCTTCTCCCCGTCCCTTCATTCATCCCCTTGCCCCCAACCCTGCACCATTTTCTCGCAGGCATCTTGTAGAGCACCTTCTGTCAGGGTCCCTGACTCGGGGAATGTAGGAAGCACCATCTATTGACCTCCCACATTCCTCCTTAATTTTATTTGTTCCCTTGCCCCCAACCCTGCACCATGTTCTCGCAGGCATATCGTGGAGCAGCTACTGTCAGGGACTCCAGAATCGTGAAGTGGTGCCATCTCAACATTCATTCTCATCCAACCTCATTCTCCCCATCCCTTCATTCATCCCCTTGCCCCCAACCCTGCACCATGTTCTCGCAGGCATATCGTGGAGCAGCTACCGTCAGGGACTCCAGAATCGTGAAGTGGTGCCATCTCAACTTCATTCTCATCCACCCTCATTCTCCTTCATCCCCTTGCCCCCAACCCTGCACCATGTTCTCGCAGGCATATCGTGGAGCAGCTACTGTCGGGGACTCAGGGAGGCACAATTTACTGACATATCTCACTTTGTACAGCAGTGAATGATCCTACAGTACGCACGTATACATCTTATGCGAAGTACAATGTCCAATGCATTAGTGTACTCTATGGACTGGTCAAAATACTGATGATATCGGCTAAATGGGGAAACTTGGCCACCAGATCCGCCCTATTAGCCAACTCGAAATCTGCAAACTCAAAAGCAGGAGCTACAGTGCATCCAACCAAACTGTACTGCGTATCTGCTGAACCTGCATCCCGAGCCGTTCGATTCAGCGCAGTGTCGAAATCAAGGGTGGGGAACGCCCCGAACCAGACGTTGGGTTTGATGACGTGGTGGAAGGATTGGCCGGCTGCTAGGTCTGGGCCGAATGTGGTCTGGCGAATCGTCCCATCGTCTTCAATCTCAACGATCTGAAGAACAGGGAAGAAGAGGGAGGGAAATGTGCGTGGTGCGTGGGAGAGGAGGCATCTGTTAAGTTTGATGATGTGGTGGAAGGATTGACCAGCTGCTAGATCCGGTCCGATAGTGGTCTCGCGAGTCGTCCCATCGTCTTCTATCTCCACAATTTGAAGGGGAGGGGCATGGGTCACGGGATAGGAGGGGAGGGGCATGGGGCACGGGATAGGAGGGGAGGTAGAATTTTTTTTGGTACCTTACTATCTCCTACAAATTGAAGGGGATGGGAGAGGGTAGAGGCGAAGAGGAGGGAAACTAACCGTGAGTGGATCGCTGGCGATGTGGTGAAAGATTTGAGCAGAGGAGCGGAAGGAGCGGCATACGAATAGAGTCAAATTACAAGTGACGAGGGAGAGGGGGGAGGGTGATAGGACGGGAACTGACAGTAAGCGGGTCCCTGGCGTAGTGGTGAAAGATTAGATGATGTTACCAGTTAAGAGGAGGTAGCCGGCATACGAATCGAGTCAACTCACAAGTGACGGAAGGAGCAGAGGGGTGGAGGAGGGGTACTGACCGTGAGTGGGTCGCCGGCATAGTGGTGAAAGATTTCGGAGGAGGGCATGCGATGGAGGTGAGACACGCTGCCCGTGGGCAGAAGAAAATAAATGCAGGTGCTGACCGGCCTGCCCACCTTAACTGCCGAACGAATCAAATGGAATGGAGAGAGCAAAGAAAAACGTTCAGGGGCAGTGGAGTAAAAATAAAAGAAGAAGGGGAAAGGGAGTGGGGAGGGGAGATGGGTGGGGAGCGGGGTGGGGAGGGGGGTGGGGAAGGGGGGGAAGGGGAGGGGGGAAGGGGAGGTGAGGGGGAAGGAAGAGGGGAAAAGGGGGGGTGGAGAGGGGCGAGATGCAAGCCAATATGATCATGATATGCCACGGTAAGATGTGAGAGTGTCGGTCAACCATCTCTAAAAAGGTCTCACCCCAACCTGACCCAAATTTGACTACGAGGTCACCTTCGGGTCACGCGCGTAGGTTCAGCTGGGGTCCCAGGGTCCGTCAAGTTTGGGTCACACGAACCAGACCCCAACCTTACCTCGCAGCTAACCCAGAGGTGACGCGGCGGTCAACACTGTTCATCCAAGTCGCCCACCACAATAGAGTGATCCACTACATGCTATTATGAATGCGATACTGTACCTGCTACACTACGAGTAGTTTAAATTATTATTCTAGATCATTATTATATACAATACTCCTGCAGCTAGTAAGTGGAGATTAGAACTTGCAATAAATCCAGGTGTTTTATACATGCAAATGCAGGGCATCTACTGTCAGATTTATATGACATAGTTGCTGTAGGCTATAGTGGGGTGCACATATGGGTACACCTTTCTAGGGTCTGTACTTGTACCCAACTTTCCCTTAGTCATTTCATTCTCGTTCATTCTCACATGGTATAGAGCAGGTTCCCCTGTGGGAACAGATCCTAGGGCCCACCAACCTTTTTTTTTCCTGCCCGGAGCGCGCTCATCCTCTGCCCGAGTCGCGCTCCCCTCTCACGGGCCCGTCGCGCCGCCCTTACGACCCCATCGCGCCGCCTCAGCGGCCCCGTCGCGTCGCGCCTCCCTAGCGGCCCCGTCGCGTCGCCCTTGCGACCCCGTCGTGCCGCCCTCGCGGCCCCGTCACGTCGCGCCGCCCTAGCGGCCTCGTCGCGCCGCCCTCGCGGCCCCGATCCGCCGCCCTCGCGGCCCCGTCGCGTCACGCCGCCCTCGCGGCCCTTTCGCGCCGCCCTCGCGGCCTCTTCGAACCGCCCTCGCGACCCCTCCTAGCCGCCTTAGCGGCCCCGTCGCCTACCCTTGCGGCCCCGGCGCCGCCCTTCCCGGCCCCGGCGCCGCCTCTGCTGGCCCCGTCGCCCCACCCTTGCGATCCCGCGGCCCCACCTTTAAGGCGCCGGTCGCCACCCTTCGTGGCCCCACCGCCGCCCTCAGCGGCCTCGTCGCCGCCCCACCCGGCCCCGCTGCCGTCCCCACGCGGCCCCGCCGTCACCACCGAGCCGCCGGCGCCACTGAGCCGCCGATCTGCCAAGCCGCCGCGACTGCCGAGCCGCCTGAGCCACCCGAGCCGCCCGAGCCGCCGAGCCACCTGAGCCGCCCGAGCCGACGAGTCGCCGAGCCACCGAGGTGCAGTTGTTGCCGAGCCGTAGTACCGCCGAGCCGCCCGAGCCGCCCGAGCCGCCGAGCTGTAGTTGCTGCCGAGCCGCCGAGTCGCCCGAGCCACCCTGTCCGGTAAGAGCAGCGCCTCTACCACTGCACTGCCCTTACCCTGCTGCTCGCGCTGCTAGTCCACTACTGTCATGGCTACCCCTAGTGTCCTTGCTTTTGACGCTGAGGGTCGGGCCATTGACTTTGACGTCTGGGTAGATGACCTGCAGCTTTTCCTACAGTGCGATAGGGTAGACGGTCTCTCCCTCTTTGACCTCACTTCTAGTGCCTCTCCTGCCCCTGCTGCTGATGCTGACGCCACTGTTCGCTCACAGTGGGCCACACGCGATGCAGCTGCACGTCTTGCTGTGCGTCGCCACTTGCCTACCTCTGAGCGTGCACACTTTAGCCAGTACAAGAGTGCTAAGACCTTGTACGACGCTGTAGTTGCACGCTACTATTCCCCTGCCACTGCTGCACTTAGCCGCCTCATCCTTGCTCACTTCTCCACTGTCCTCCCGTGTCCGGCGGCCCCCTCTGGCACCCTGTCTGGTCTTTACCTCCCCTCGTTCTCTACGAACTTGGTGAGTGGTGCTGACCTACAGGATGCGGGGGTTCACCAGTTCACTCCAGCGGGTGACACACTGCACGGACGCTCGGACGGGCCGACACCTGGCCACGTTTACACGTCAGCCGGGGTCGAGCCTGTACACACTGACCACTGAGTCTCCTCCAGTCACTACGTCTGGTCAGGTAGCTGCGTCGGGTCAGGTGTTTGCTGCAGCGTCCAGGTCTGGTCCTGAGTCTGCCCCCTGCTCGTGTCGCCTCCTGTCTCACGAGACTCTCCTCTGGCACCACCGCCTTGGTCAACCCTCCCTGCTTCGTCTCCGAGGCATGGCCTCCCGTGTCCTTGTCTCTGGTCTTCCCCGGTCCCTCCCTCCCCTTCCTCCGGGGCCTGCCCCTACCTGCGTCCCCTGTGTCGAGGGGCGGCAGCGGGCTGCCCCTCACTCCTCCCAGTTTCCTCCGACAGAGGCCCCGCTGCGGACGCTTCACATGGACGTGTGGGGCCCGGCCCGCGTCCGTGGACAGGGTCACGAGCGCTAATTCCTGCTGGTGGTTGACGACTACTCGCGTTACACCACAGTCTTCCCCTTGCGCAGCAAGGATGATGTCACCGAGGTGTTGATCGACTGGATCCGCGCAGCTCGTCTCCAGCTCAGGCAGAGCTTCGGCTCGGACTTTCCTGTTCTGCGTCTGCACTCTGACAGAGGCGGAGAGTTCTCCTCTGGCCTTCTGCGAGCCTACTGTCGTGCACGAGGCATCCGCCAGACCTTCACGCTTCCGGACTCTCCACAGCAAAATGGGATTGCTGAGCGCCGCATTGGCATGGTCATGGACGTCGCCTGTACATCCATGATGCATGTGGCTGCCCCCCATTTTCTGTGGTCGTTTGCGGTTCGGTACGCGGCGCATCAGATCAACCTTCACCCCAGGGCCTCCATGCCGGAGACCTCCCCAGCTTTCCTGTGGACGGGGAAGTTTGGCGATGCGTCTGCGTTCCGTGTCTAGGGATCTCGGGCGTTTGTCCGCGACTTGTCTGCGGACAAGCTGTCCCCTCGTGCTGCTCCTTGCATCTTCCTTGGCTTCCCCCCTGACGCGCCAGGGTGGCAGTTCTACCACCCCACCTCTCGCCGTGTTCTGTCCTCCCAGGACGTCACGTTTGACGAGTCGGTCCCCTACTACCGCCTCTTCCCCTACCGCACTCCGTCCCTCCCCCCGCCACCGCTCTTCCTTGTGCCAGGTCCCCCTCCGGTAGACCCCCTTCCCCCTCAGGGTCCTGCCCCTTCAGGTGTGTCCCAGGTAGACGCAGTTGAGCCTGTGGAGGTTGCTGGTGACTCTGGTGCTGCTGAGGGTGCTGAGTCTGGGGGTGCTGACTCTGGGAGTGCTGAGCGTGTGGGTGCTACACCTTGGGGTGCT